CATTAGTCTTTGTGATGTATTCGTTTGTATATCTATATAATTTTTTTGCATCAATGTAAATGTATTGTTTTAAAACAGTAAAACTAAAACAACAGTGATTTCAAGAAATATTAAGTAAAACCTTCAGGAGGATCAGTCAATTGTGAGCTGTAATGTGGTCGACTGCGCAATCCTTCCAGTGAGCAAACTGTTGAATAAGTGCTTTCCGAATCAGCACTGCTAGTACTACCAACGGGTATTTTGTTGTAGCTAGAAGAATTAATGCCGATAAATCCTCAACACTTAATTCTGTGAAAATCCATATATTCGATTAAATTCAGAATAAAAATCTGAATTACCAATCCCCTCAATTTTAGAATTGAGAAGAAAAAATAATAAAGTCGCAGAAGTGGGCACATCGAAATCAGATGATTTGGAAAATGAACTGCAAATATAAAAACAAAAACATTTATGGCACTATGATATTAAAGTGATACCTGTTTGATTGTCTTGCCATTTTCGGGACTGAAATAATGCGACTTACCATAACTTGTTTACTACCACTGAAAAAAAAAAAGTTCTGAAAACTCTACTCTTATGTCATTCTATTCTATGAAATATGAAACGTATAAAACCAAGGATTTAGAAGGCAAGAAAATCTGGCCAGCGACAACGTAAAACTCGCTCGCTATTTTTCAAAAATTTAAGAGGATTTTTGTCTTTTCGAAACCAATCGCTAGCAGAATGAATCGTTAGTAGTACAGGAAAACCCAGCAAAATTAACAAATAAATTCATATACATACAGTATATTATTCTGTCAAAAATTCAAAAACAATGAATTTCTTGCAGCACTATACCTACATTTTCCTACCTAGATCACCAAGGCTTTTTCCATTAATCACTCTCCATGAGATGAGAGGATGTTACGCTAATTTTAACAGGTGAAACCTGTAGACTGTATAATTTTTAACAGGTGAAATTAACAGGTGAAAGCTACCTTAAAGAATGAATTTTGAAAGATTCATTTTTTGTTGTGGACAGCGAGCCAAATATCATTTGTCCAATACAGGGAACATCTGGACGATGTCTTAGAAACTGAAAACTTTCGGTAACATCATCGTTTCATATAAGTTTCTATCGAAAATGACTTTTTCTTAAATGAATGCTAACAACAGTATCGACATCCACTGAATCCTCACCAAAACAGATACAGCCAATAACAACTTCTCCCATAAAATTGAAATATGCTGGTCTTCTTTTTAAACCCACGAAAGTACGTATGTATTCTGAAAGAAATTCATAATTTACCCGAAACCGACCACAGTTTGAAAGTGGTGTTTTAGCCGGAATATCAGGCGTATTCACCGGCAAAACAGTTTCGCTATCGAACAACAGCCGCCGTTCACTTTCAGCCAAAATAACCAGTCGTAGTGATTCTTTACCAAGCTTTTTATCGTGACAAAAACTAAATTAGTAGATTTTCGGTAATATCTCATTATTTCTATATCAAAATAAATAACTATAAAGGAGGATCATTCAGTCTAACAGATATTCCGAGAAGTAGAGGAAGTAGGAAGAAAAGTACATTATTCTGTTTTCTCAATCTTAATTGTAACAGCATCCTCAAAACCTGCTCAAAATACCGTACCTTAATCTCAGATAATCAAGCAGATATATTTTCATGAAGTTTGCTAACCAAAACTTATTGATCACTTCATCTTCTCCATCCGCTTTCTTTAAAAAATTGCCACCATCATTAGTGACATGTTCAAGTGGTCGTTTTTTTGATCTTCTTGGGAAAACGCTTTTCAACATCGCTAGATTCCTACATCAATAACCATCTATGAGACCGAATTTTCTTTCTTCCAAACAACCCATTTTATCTTATCTCAATTCTGAAACAAAAAAATCTCGTCAGAATTCCAGAAAAGATATGAATCACAAATTCATAAAGTCGCAAGGGTTTCTTCCAACCTACAGAAACTTACAGCTTTCAACTAAAACAACATTTCCGCTTATGATTTTTAGCATTCCATCCAATTTCTTCTTATACCAACGAGTTTTTTACGATGTCCAAACATGCAATTTCCTACATTTAATTCTGAGCTGATAACAAAAAGATTTTTCCCTACCCAACTCACGAGGTTAAATTTTCAGAAAGTAACAGAATAAGGGACACTCACACAAATCTTAAAACTTGTTTCCCTGTACAATACTAACAAGGTCCAATCATACTCAAACTTCTAAGCAAAGTGGTATGTATTTATAAGTATGTAATTAAAAGATGAAATTATTTCAGGAGAAAAATCTGGAACATATAACCCATCTCAAACAAATGATTGTTAATGCTAATAAGCAAGAATATTCAAACAAATTTTCCCCCCACCTTCAATAAGATATGCTAATACACTTCTTCATATCTTCAATTCAAGTCCAGTTCCCTCTTCCAGAAAGGTGTAATTAAATGTGGGATCGGAATTCACTAATCCGTTCATATTTGTTTCGCTTTCCTATGCAGTCAGAACAAGGTATGAAAGAGAGGAAGCTTGTAGAAAACGGAAAAGTGCCACATGAAGTGTGGGATAAAACTTCATCCTCAACTAAGTGATCAAATATGTTGACGTCGTAAAAGTTAGATCATTATCACAGTGTACAAGAATGAAACAATAAAATCAGTTTCAGCACAAGTAATCTCAAACAGTGTCTTTTTTTGACATAATAAACTATTTTTAAGATATAATGAATCTTCTCTCTATTAGTCCAGGACAAAACTACTCTTCCTCTTTGACATCACTTACTGAGATTAACCTAAAACCAAGTTTCACGAATGGAAAATTGTTTAATATTTTCCGACGATTTTGTGATTTAGAAATAACTAGAAATAGATAGGAAAGGAGCAAAGAACATTTCACATTTCCCAGTGACCACAACAGTGAAAATTTTGTTCGTTTCATTGAACAATGAACAACTCGAAGTCAAGCACCGAATGCAAAGCGGGATCAGAAAGAGTGTTACCAATAGGAACTGAATCAGCTATGACACACAAAGGGATTTAGCAGCGTTTTGATGCATCACAATTTCATTGCAAAAACAGATCATAATTTAGCTAATTTATATAACATTCTCCAGAGATTTTGAAGGGAAATTAAAGGAAGTAGTTAAAGGACTCCGAGGGGAAACCTAAAACATTAGAGAAACCAAATCAAAAACTCTTTTAGCTCAAGACAAGAAGTATATTATCAAGATCAAATTGGAGATACAGTATGATAAGCTTTAGCAAAGGTGTGGATGAAATATGTATGACTGCTTTGCATGCAGCACGAGATATTGTCTACATATTTCGAAACTGGTGAGCTCGCAATGGTACAATGATCTGTTCAAAACTAAAATGACTTGCTAAACGATAAAAGTTTTCTGTACATTACAACAAAGATTTTAAAAGTGCCCAAACCTTTATAATTTGCACTATGAAATTATTTACATTTCAGTAATTTCCACTTAAATTCGCTGCAGAAATAGGAGAAAATAAGATTTTTTACTGGTACAGCGCTGAGTATTACCTCAGTGTTAAAACTTGGCTCTCCTAGAATTACGGAAAATAATCTCTTTATATGTATAAAGCGGCAAAACTTGAAAACACCAGGCTTTTTCTGATACATAATTTCTATTTTCATTTTATGGAGAAATACAATAAAGAAACATGAGAAAATATATTATTAAGACTTTTCTAAAATTTCATAATTCCTAGCGAAATGATATGCAAATCTTCCATACAGTTATCCAGAACGCTGCCAGTATAACAAGCATAAAAAAAGATGTGTGGTAAATGTGCACTGAACTTTCACTGTCAAAAACCGATCAGAAATAATGAAAGAATGGACAGGGATATTATCGTTTGGTATCTAATGGTAGATCTTCGTGAATTTATACCTTAACACGTCATGTTTGCAGCAGAAACGAGAAATGGAAGAAACAAAACAAGCTGACGTAATCGCCTCGAAATTAATATTCAGCTTGAATGTCGATTCAAAAAACTTTGAGAAGCTTCCATTGCATGAATTGCGATGGGAAGAAAAAATGGGATAAAGAGCATTTCAACTCCTCCTGGAATTATAATTACCTATTCAGAGAAAGGATTTGAAAAAGGATGTTTCAACAGGATTTGCAATTATTGTAATAATGTACAGAGACACTTGTCACTCCTTCTTATAAGCGAAGAAATCATTTTTATTTTATATGCATATATTAAACGTAAAAGTATCGAAGATAGGATGAAATTTCAGAATGATGGAACCACAGCTGATGATAATATTGAAATAAATCGTTATCAGACACGATTAAAACTGCAATGAGCGGCATAACACTGCTGCATAAAAGGTGATTGTAGACACTCAAGAGATTTGAACTCGAGGACAAAGAAGAGAGAGAGAGAGGTAGGAAATATGAGGTGGATGAGATTGTTGGGGTTATTTGCACCGGTATCGGAGGGACAGTAACAGCTCACACTAGACCGTTCGTTCACGCAATTCTCCAAGCTGATCATATACATATATATCAGTCATGTCATAAGGAGGGATTATTTCAGGGACACTGAGAAGTATGACAGTATAGAGTTATCCCGACTTGTCATGATCATACTTCATATACTAAGTACCATCTGTGAATCCTTGTTTCCAGAGAGAAGTAACTGCTATACTACTTCTCTTAATTAACTAACAATAAATAATGATTGGAGATAAAATGATGGCAAGGAGGAACGGATGTCAGGTATCGGCGACAAGGCCAGTGGGCGATCGCACGGCGAAAAATAGGAGGAGTTAATGCCATAAGGTGGGATGGGGATCCCTCTTATACCATCATATCGTCAGAGGAGGGTGATGCATTGCACTGCAATTCATTCAGACTTGCACAAACCACTGCACTGATTGATACCCGTCCTAAAACGCACATATGATGCTGACAGACGTACTGAACGTCTGTCTCCCCGTCTGCTTGTCTGTCTGTCCTTTCGTGTGTGTCTATGCGGAGGCGTCTCAGCAGTTGGTCGCGGTTCCTTGGCTGCTCGCCTGCTCTATCCATATCATTCTACTTGCCTATCATGCCATCTGCACGTGACGAATGTTGGCTAAGAGCCAGCAAAAATGACGGACGTAAGGAGACAAACAGACAAAAACAAGCTCCATCCACACACATAGCTAACAGTGCATCAATATTGCTATTGTGATGGAGCGAACATTACGTTGTCCTACAGATCGTTGTCAGTGAAAAACGTATGTGGTACGTGCGTGTCTTCATCGTAAGTTTTAAATTGCTGCTTTTGTGTACTCACTGTTTCAATGAGAGCAACGGGAGTTCGTTAAACGAAACACACGCATACATGCACACATATACAAATAGCTAACATGCGAAATGCATTTAAGTTACCGAATAATGAGCCTACAGCGATTTGCAAACTATAGTAGCAGTAAAGCTATATCACAGTTTCGTTTTCTCTGAGTAACATTAATCATTCAATCATCTATTAAACAAGGAGGTAAGTTTCTTCCGCCAAAGTTTCAGGCCGGAAGTTCAAAATAACTATCAAAATTGAGTTTCGTTAGAAGTAATTTTTAACCTACTAAAGAGTGCAGGTTTTATCCAGTATTTGATTTCATTTTCAGAAATTTGAAAATAAACAAGCTTTTCTGGATGTCTTCCTCTCGGTTGTCATCTATGTAATTGACATTATACGTAGAGTTCCCTGAGATGAGTTGGAAAACGATAAATTCTATTGCTTTGGACATATGGACACACGTACTTTCTAAGCGAATGATGGTAAAGGACGGTGTTTGTTAAAAAAGAAATACAAGAAATGAAACCGATGATGAATGGAGTGCTTTTATCTCGAGGTGGTCGAACAGCAGAGAGGAAACTACAGGAAGGAAAGGAGAGCGAAAAAGGAAGAGTAATAAGAAACCCTTACAAGTTTACCGCGGAAACTGGCCGATAGGAATAGTCAACAAAGAAAGTTTACAAGGGGTTGGACTGAATGTTATTGACTAAGAGAAAACTTTGAACCCCAAATCGAAGTTCTCGATTGTAGAAACTCTAGTCATTGGATAACTTGTTAGGGGACGACTGGAGAGGATCTAGTAAATTGGATTTCCTCGATGTGGTCATAAATATGTCTGGATCATTAATAGTTCAGTTGGATTAGATTTGTGAAATCTACAAGTGGAAATTTCTAACCGATTCATTTTCTCCTGATGAAATGTTCAACAACCTCCGTTGTTGAACATTTCTACGATATAGATTTCTTCACGTAAACTAGAAAGAGAAGAAAAAATACGCTAAAAGTGCCTTTTGCAAATTCCAGTGCCAGTAGTATAAGTAGGATACAGAAATGCGCTGCTTTTGAATGCAGTGACGATAATAATTTACTGAATCAGACGTCCTTCACTCCATCAATTGGTTAAAATCAGAATCTACTGCAATTCCGGAAGCCGTCTGCATCCAGATGTTAGAATAATGTGACGAAGAAAAGTATAAGAAAGTCAAAAAACATGCAGAGTAAAAACCAAAAAACGTTTGTAAAACAGAAATATGGAAGTATAGGTTTTTTCTGAATGTATTCTACAGTTTTTCTGTGAGGGTCTGTCCAAAATAATAAAACCCCTTTTCTCACAACGTGTACTTCAAAACATGCAGGGTGAAACAAAAAACGTTTGTAAAGTAGAAAAGTGGAATCTAAGGTTTTCTCAATGTAAAATTTCAGACATTCTACAGTTTTTTCTGTGAGGGTCATAACAGACAGATAGGTGATTTGAGTAAGAAAGAAAAAAGGTCATTTCGGCATGTTTTTTGGCTTACGAAACAGAAATTTTGGCAAGAGGGAATGAAGGGAAAGGATTTCACATGTGTTTGCATTGTCAAAATGTGTGAAGAAGTGGTGTTTCTTTTAACAAATACCGCTTCTTCTGGATTTGTGACATACTTTTGAATTTATGAACAATTTTGGGATTTTCCAATTATTTTAAAAAACTCGCCAAAACAAATTTTTTATTGCAATGCTGGATTGTTCGCAGATGGATGTCAATGTTTAGCAAGACATAAAAGAAATTTTAAATAAAGAAAAATGAATATTCAAAGTGAAGAGAACAAACATAACATTTCAACAGATGGATAAAACAGGGTGCAAGATGACTAATCATTAAAAAGACTGAAGTATAAAACGACCAAATGTTAATTTCAAATGATAATTCAGATTTTCAATTATAAGTGATGAATCATAGCCGAGGAAGCACGGCAGTGAAGTAGTGCCCGATGTATATTTTTGAGATTGTTTGCCGAACCGTTTTCTAGCGGTCAAAAACTTTTCCAAATAGGATTTTCAGGATTCTATATTACTTCAAGAATTTCGAGAATCGACTAGTTTCAATCAAACTGGAAATGGAAAATTTTAAAAATTTGGTTATTGATATACAAACTGAGCAAGCCTTGATATACTATAAAAATTAAATGATTTTTAGCAGTTTATCCTGTAATGAGAGGACAGCGAACTACGTAAAATCTAAGCATAAAAAATACTCTGAAAAAAAATTTGAAAAGGACAAATAATAATTTGAATAAAGAAACGCTTGACTCTCCATCCAAAGCAAAATAAAAAAAAAAAAACTTTATGAATGTGTTTTGTTAATTGAACAAACATCTTATCATTGTAGACAGAATAGATTTTTATAATTTAAAATAATTATACAATGTATTCCGCACTTTAACCTTCGGCATCAACTTCCAACTTATGTATTTTGAGATCTAGAAAGTTTAGACTAAAAGAATTATTTAAAGCCAGAGCTGTTAAACATGCTTTATTTTTTCCAAGTAGTGTAACAAAAAGAAAAAAAACGATCAATAACAACGGCTAAAGTGCTATAGTTATGATTCTGAACCAGCTTAACATCCTGCAGGTAGATAAAACTTTTTTCTAGTTCTGGAACCTAAAAATTGAGTGTCATTTTGTAACGAGTATACTGATATTTTGTAGTGAGTAACAGTTCAGAGTTCGTTTCTTTTTTTTTCTTTTTTTTAAATATTTACTGCATTCAAACTAAAGTCAAGCCCAAAAGGCATAAGCGTCATACGTCTCATCTGATTATTTGAAATGCATATACTCAAACATTTTACTCTCATAACCTCCCTCACATTTACTAGATTTCAGCTGGACATTCAATTCAGAAAATGTTACCTGAGAATGAATAAATTGCAATTAACACGTTCCAATAATGGCATAAAGAACACGAAACTAAAGGAATGGAAGTATACGACACATCTATGTATCTATTCTAAGCATATATTTATTTTAATTACAAAGCAAAATGATCTCATCTAAAAGATTGCTTTCGGAGAGCCTGTAAAAAACAAAAACATTTAAATTAATTCGGAATCCAATTGTTTAAAATACAATCTTGCTAGAGAATTTGGATTACGGAAGACTTTTCTGATCAAAAATTCTATTAACAATTAGGGGAAAGTTAGAGGAAACAAACAGGTATGAAAACAATGGGAAAAACAAAAAGAAAGTGATCGTAAATGGATTTCTACGAATTAGCAAATACCTAAAAAAAAAAAAAAAAAAACACTGTGATAGTTTAGAACAAAATGTGAAATGCACAGAAAAACGCTCAAACCCTATTAATCGGGACGTGATATTCCAGTATTCAAGGTAGGACTGCAAAGTTGTTTTGCACATGTGATGTTTTGAATAAAAAACTCTTTATCATATGTGCTTTCATAAAAACTTAACAGCAGCCCGGACCGTAGTTTGCTGATCGTCCACTATTACTCCGTAATCACTGCAAAGGAATGCAACCTCGTGATTTTCCCATGTAAAATAATCAACTGGTGGAAATAGAGAAATGTTAAGAAGTGGGGAACAAATGAAGAAAATGAGCGAAATGATTGTATGAGTAGATCGATCAATCTATTTGTTCATGTTTTGAAATTCAAAATTGATGTTTCGAGATTTCTTGGCGTAAGATCAAATTGTATGCCATAAATTTAATTTATTAATGACTTTGAAACATGATAAAATTATACATCAGCATCACTTGATGTAACAGGGTGTTGACAACACAAACTGATCTTGCATTGCAAAATTTCTCATACTTTTTGCCAATGATTAATTAATGATCATAATTAGTTGAAAATTCACCCTACGTTTAGTTTGAGTGTTTCAGATTTTTCATTAATAACATAAATGAAAAAGATGCACATATCTGCAACCATACAATTATTTAAAAAAAATCGGTCACTTCTACAAAATTCTTAGAAATAAAATTAATTTTAAATAACATCATACATATGGTCTTTTCTACAATTCTCTCGAATAATTTTGCGAAGATATGGTCAACAAATCCCCACTCCTTAACTAGTACCACACTCAGTTCCCTCACCCAATCAACTGTTTCAAATATGAATTACTTGCAACATTAGGAAATAAAAATTTTCTTCCAGCACTTGAACGATTAACTGGAAAATAACCAATTTGCGCTTCGATCATCCAGTTACTCGGTCGGCATCCACCAACTTCCCATCTCATCCGAGAAATTTGAAGCACATTTTGAATTATACTTAGTTCAGTCACTTGCTTTACCCGTGCACTTCTACCTCCAAAATCCCCAGATCGATCCTTGAATTCTGCTATTTCTACATGTTTAACATCACCGAGATCTCACGCACTCATTTAAAAGCCCTTATACTCCTTCTAGATCAAAATTTCAGAGAATGACATTTAATAAAACCCCTCCATTCCCTTATCTTCTCATTTTAAGATAACGACATGTACACTAACATCCACATTTCTATCGAGTTACGCATGATATCTTAACAAAATGCAACCCCAAGACTGATTGCAAAAAACCAGATGTAGCAGCTACAAGAAATCCCTTGTTTCTTTACTGTACCTGTTTTCATCTCCTCTATCCTGTGATTTTTAAGCACAAACAGCACACAGCTGCCAAATAATAGTCTTACATGAACATGTTCATTTTTCTTCTGTAGCATAGCATGATGTAGATGCAATCAACATCCGTGTTACACGGAAGGGATATGTGATCGTCCACAAACATACAGCTTCAACTTCACAGAGCGGTTGTCAGAGTAAAGCTGTATCGCATTTCTCATTTGTACTGTTTCGTCCTTCCTTATTTAATTTATAAAAGTCACGTCCCTTAAAACTACGACTGTGTG